ACTAAAGCAGTTGTGAGCTCAGGGGCTGCTGGATGGGTAAAGGGAGAGAAGAGGGCTGATGGAACAGAGGAATGATGTCAACCCAAAAGACCTCAAGGGGATAATAAGTGATGAAGAGGGAAATGTTCTTGGTCATGCAATGAGGAAATGGGATCTTGGCAAGTGTTCCTGGGGATGTGGTTGAAGCTGAGACAGGGAAAGCGTACACAGCCAGAGGATTTAGGGAAGGGTGAACTTGAAGGACCACAGAAAGTGTTATTTAGCTTGTGAGAAATTGGAAGTGATGCTTTTGCTCTGCTCTGTCCCTCTGAAGGGGATACGAGTCGCAAAGCAACCTATTGATATAAAGGAATGATTTGGAATTGGTGCTGCGGGGGCACAAGTGTTGCCTGGGAAGCGATGGGGAATACAGGAAAACTGGAGTCGTGGTCTTGGTTTGGACTGATAAACTGGAAATCTATCCTCAATATCCGAGGGGTGTTTGGTTTTCCTCCTGCCTGGGAGGATAAAAGAGATGCTGTGTGGTAGGGTTTGTGTTTTCAAAGCGTGCATGAAAAGCTCCATATTAGCAATTATGGGATGAAACTGTGGAAAAGTGGTACAAAGGAGAGAAAATTGGCTTCGACTCAGGAAACGGGATTCTGCCGCCAGGGGTGAGTTTCCAGAGGCACAATCTGGGGTCTCTTCTGGGTTCTCTTTTAATGGGAATGATTTGCATGAACAGCCCAGAGTTAAAGCGTGAAAGCTCACTGATGTAAGTAAAGGGAAGGCAGCGACAGGGACTCGTCTGCTGGAGCACATGGAGAACACTAAAGGAACGGGAAACCCATGAGCAAATAGAGACTCGAATGTCATGTTTCCCAAGGGAAGCATTTAGAGCTTGCAGGGAGCTGCTGGGGAGCAGCATCCAACCACGCTGGCAATAGGCAGCCTGTCTGCCTGCACCCCGACAGGGGAATCAGTGCACAGCCAGAGGTTTAGCTTGTGATAGTGATTGGCATCAGTGATGGGTGATGTCCCCTCACTGGGAAGGGGCACCATGGCACAGGCAGAGCTGTGGAGCATGGAGGGGTTTAGGTTTATAGAATCACAGGATCATTCAGGTTGGAAAAGACCTTTAAGATCATAGAGTTAAGCCAGCACTGCCAAGGCCACCACTAATGCCTGTCTCCAAGTGTCAGTATCCAGTCTAAACATCCCCTGGCACAGCTTGAGGCCATTTCTTCTTGTTCTATCACTGGTTATTTGGGACAAGAGACTGACCCCTACCTCACTACAACCTCCTTCCAGGTAGTTGTAGAGAGCGATAAGGTCCCTCCTGAGCTTCCTTTTCTCCAGACTAAACCCCCCCTGGTCCCTCAGCCGTTCCTCATCAGACTGGTGCTCCAGGCCCTTTCCCAGCTTTGTTGCCCTTCTCTGGACCTGGTTCCCAAATTTCTCCAACTTATCTCCAGCCTGAGCCAGACTACCTTTGACAAGTCATGGTTATACCTCCATCCGCTCGACTGGAGAGATGTGTGCTTTGAGCTTGTGGGACTGCTGCTTTGGAGAAGAGGGGATTTATGCCAGCCCTCAGAGCAGCATTCAAAATGCATGAAGACACGCTGTATGAAGGGATTTTGGGGGGGAAAACACCCGAGAGTGAAGCAGGGGCCGTGGTAGAGCTGAACCATGCAGATGGGAAGGCAGTTATTGAGGCGAAGTGTCAGAGCGTGCCAGAAAGATTCAGTTTATCCTCAGAGAGCTGCGGTGGTGGAGGAAGGATGGGTGCAGGGAGGGATGGCACCTAAGGGAAAGGCAGGAGGAACACCAGAAACCTACAGCCCAGGTATCCTGCTTTTGGCTGGGATAGAGTTAATTTTCTTCCTCGTAGCTGGCACAGCGCTGATTTGGGTTTAGGATGAGAATAACATTGATAACAGAGGGGTGGTTTAGTTGTTGCTGAGCAGTGCTTACAGTAAGGCAGGGATTATTCAGCTTCTCACTCCATTAGCAAGGAGGTTGAGGGGAGCACAAGAAGCTGGGAGGGGACCCAGCCAGGACAACAGAGCCCAAATGATCCAGGGATATCCCACACCATCCGATGTTATGCTCAGTATATAAACCAGCGGGTGGTGAGCAATTGCGCATCGCTTGTTTTGTATATTCTAATTCTTTTCCCATCATCATCCTTATTCTTTTCCCTTCCTTTTCTGTCCTATTAAATTGTCTTTGTCTCAACCTATGAATTTCACTCTCTTCTTCCCAGTTCTCTCCCCTACCTCACTGTAGGGAGGGCAGTGAGTGAGCGAGTGCTGTGTGCTGTTTAACTACCTGCTGGGCTGAAGCACGACACCATGTCAAGTGACATCTCTTATTTAGCAGCGCATCATGTCTCCATTCTGGTTTTTAAACCAGTAGCCTTTATTGCTAGGAGTTAGAGCACTTGATTGACAAGGCTTGTGATACACCGTGGAGTTGTCTTTATTTCTCCCACACGTTAAAGGAAAAGATACTAAAAATACAATTAGGGTTTTGAGCCAGGCGTAGTCTGCTCGGATATAATTCATCTCAAAGGCTATCCATCGTGCCTGCTGCACCCAAATCATTTATAAAGCATTAGCATCTCCTGTGCTGACATTTCACTCCCATATTACAGGAGTTATACACAACCTTAAAGAAAAAAATTAATAAAGTGCTCCTCTCCTTCATTCTCCCACTGAGAGCTTTGATTTCCAGAGTATGAAACGAAATAACCAACATAACAACATTCTCCACTTCTAAGGGACAGTGCCAGACTCATTCAGTTGCTATTGGTTATAGAGAGTAGGACATGAGGGAGCTATTTCAGATCACGGATTATTTGTTCTGGCTGCATTGGACATCCCTTTAGTGGAGCTTTAGAGCTCTGTAGACAGAAAAGTTTGGGTAGGAGCTGGAAGAGGGTTTGATGAAGTAACCTCTTCCTTTCTCCTCCCTGCTATTTCCCAAGAAGGGTATTTAAAGTGAAGCATCCAAGCCCCTGTCCCTCCTCACCTGTGAGATGGGCAGAAGAGACCATGGCCTCCCAGCTGCCAGTTCCCTTTTCATTCCAGATACCTCCAGGGAATCTGCCCCTGAATAAATACCGTCTTCCACCCCAAACCAATTGGGAGAGTGGATTTCCTGAGCTGGCCTGTTCTTCCTGAAGCCAGTGGTGTGTCTGGTGGCAAACACAAGCATTTTCCTTTGGGCTTTGCAGCCCTACAAGGGAGCTACAGGATAGAAACGTGCCGCCACTGGGGTATGGTTACAAAACGCACAGCAGCCTTTTCTTGTCCAAGATCACTTTTATTTCCCTTGTTTTGTTAACTTCAGTGTCTGTTTGGTCTCACACATCCACGCTGACAGGGAATTCACACCTCCTGGGTGAAACCACCAGCTCTGCCGTGCCCCCGACCAGCAAATGCATCCCTCTGCCACAGAGTTGGATTCAGGATGAGGGGAACAAGCAGATCTGCTCCCTCTCCTCCCCTTACCCTCAACCTGTTTTGTACAGCTGCCTTGGACCATCTATTTCTCTCTCCTGTGGTGGACCAGAAACCCTGGGCTCTGTGCTTCTCACCGGCCCTCTATGAGCTGTAGCTGACTCTTTCTCTGACTCTTCCCATGACACAACCTGTTCCTCTTAGGAAAAACCTCTTTCGATGCTGTCAGGACTATCTGCAGCCTTGGAACTGTTCCTTGCTGCCCCATTGAAAACCTTAGTCCAGCTATAAGGGTCCTCATGCCACCGACATGGCTGGAAGCCCCTCTCTGCCTCCAGCCCCCAGAAAGCCCCTTTTCTCCTTGGGACTTTGCACCTCTCTCTGGAGACAGAGCTCTATGGCTCTATTTATTTGGACTAACTAATCTCTCTCTCTCCCCCAGATACAAGTTAGGATGTAAGGGTGAGTTTTGGCTCTCTGGATATGGGCTTTGCTGTGTCTCATACAACCACCCCCCTCCCAACATTTAGTGCTCTGAATGGCTGAGAACATTGGTCCTGGTTCCCCCCGCGCGTACTGAGCCCGCCCGATGGCTTTCAGCATCTGTAGGCACTGCTGCCGGTTGGTTGTCTTGAGGAAAAGAAAAAGGAAAATCATATACTGGTCTGCTATAAATTCAACAATACAATCCTTAGTTCTGAAGATATAGTTTCCATATAGTTTATAAACATTATAAGACATACATATGGATAGTTGAGGGGAAGAGGGGGGAGCCTGTGCATCTGTTGGGTCTGGGTTTATTTTCAGGTGTGTGAACATGGGTTACAAAAAGACGCACCTCCTGCAGGTACCTCATTTCTTTCAGTGTTGGGTTTGTTGGGGTTTGTTTTTTGTTTCATTCCACCTCGAATCAGTCTTTCCTTTGGTTGTTGGCTACTCCAAGCCCAGCAGGCAAGCCCTGTTCTGCTGTAATGCCTGAGATATTCAGGGGGTTGAGATTGTCTTCTAAGAGATTCCCAGCCAACTTTGGCCTCTGGGTTTGGAGCCAAAAGGGCTAAACCATGGGAGAACCAACGTCTTTATTACATGGGTATCCCTGTCCTTGCACTTGCTTTCAGAGAAACAGTGTAGGCTTAATCGGTGATCGTCTTTACAGCAGTTTTGTTCCTTTCAGTAATCGGAGGGGTCGTTTCAGCGTGCTCTCAAATGAACGGGATCTCACAAGAGCATGGATACAGTCCACGTGTCCGGTTGTTGTCACCGACCAATTGGCTACCATCCGTGTTATCTGTTTTTTGTAAGGTTGGCTTTGTTGTTGTTGTAGGTGCTCGATTAGGCTGTTTGTGACAAGGTGTGATAATGCCTTTTAATCCGCTCCCGCTGCGTTCGGCACAAGTCCGCGTTGGCAGCCCTTCCGGGCACGGAGAGAGACCATCAGAAGCCGAGACAACGTTCTTCCCTTCGCCAGGCCAACGCTAGCCACGTACAAAAAAAGAAGAAGAAAAGAAACTCTGGTCCTTTGTAGATTGGTGGCAGTACAGACTCGCTCCCTGCTCAGCGTATGACGGCCGCTAACACCATCATAAAGACCAGGAGCGATGCCCTGAGCCCCGAGCAACCGGCTGCCTGCTGGACCCCGCTGGGCGGGCGGATGGGTGTCCGCCGGGTGCACTTACCCTTGCGCTTAGTGGGCAGCGTTGGCATCACCCCAAAGCTGTATTTGTGCTGATAATCAGGCACATAGTCTGGAACCTCCTGCCCGTTTTTCCTTGGTCCCAAGGAGCCCGGTTTGGAGGTTCGGTTACGGCTTTTGTGGCTGGTGCAGTTCTTGCCGGGTTTGCGATAGCCCGGCCGGGAGCCAGGGGGGACGGCAGGCTGGCTGCTGTGCAAACTGTTCTCAGCCCCTCTCTCCTTGCCCTTCTCCTTGGAGGAGTGATGAGGGTGATGGGTTTTGGAGGCTCCTCTGTCTGCTGTGGAGAAAGTATGTGTTTTAATCTGATGGAGCGACTCGGACCCTGAACAGTTCCTAAAGTCTTCTGCTCTTAGCACCTTGAGGTCCTTGCCGTGCATCTGCTCAGGGGACTCGCAGATGACGCTGGAGCTGGAGCCTCTGAACCTGTGTAGCCATTCCCAGAGTGAACGGGCTTTGCAGTCGCAGCTCCATGGGTTCCCGTTCAGCCTGAGAAACTCCAAGGCTCCCAAGTGGGCCAGGCAGTCCCCCTGCAGCTCCGAGAGGCTGTTATTGAACAAGAAAAGGGTGGTCAATCTTCGGAGGTCATGAAAAGCCCGCCTGTGAATCCACTGCAGCTGATTTTGATGGATGAGCAGCCGGTCCAGGTTTATTAGTCCCCTGAATGTGTTCTGATGGAGGCTCCAGAGCTTGTTTCCATGGAGAAAAAGATGGCTGAGGTTAACCAAGTCAACAAAAATATCATCCTGAAGGAACTCGATGTGGTTGTCTTGCAGGTAAAGGTATTGCAGGTTGTGGAGGCCACCGAATATCCCGCTGGGGAGGGAGCTCAGCCCGCACTTGTACAGATACAAGGCATGGAGTTTCACCAGCCCTTGGAAAGTGTCTGCAGCTAAAGCCCTTAAGTAGCGGTTATCCCCAAGGTCCAGCTCTTCCAGGTTGACGAACCCATCGAAGGTGTTGGGGTCGATGAAGGTGATGTTGTTGGAGTAGATCCAGAGGGTGACCATGGAGGGGCTGAAGTGGCCCCGCAGCAGCAAAGTGATCTGGTTGTTCTGGAGGAAGATCCTCTCGCTGTCCTCAGGGATGCCCTCGGGGATGGTCACAAAGTTGTGAGCCTGGCAGCTGACGGTCATGGGGGACGGGTAGCACACGCAGTCAGTGGGGCAGCCCAGGGTGCTGGGCACCTTCAGCCCCAGCAGCACCAGCAGCAGCTCTGCAAACCCCCCTGTGCAGAGAGAGGGGAGAGCGGCGTCAGCGGGGACCCGGGTACCTCCCACCCACCCATCACCTTCCATGGGGACTATTCTGGGTGAAAAACACTCCCTATTAACTCAGCCCTCCTCTCCGCTCATGAATTACCCACGCTGCTGCGATGAGTGGTTGTTTAAATGTGATGTATGGAGTACTCCCTGCCTCCTCACCCTGCCTGTACCCGGCACGCGGTTGTGCTCCCAGCCTGAAACAGGCAAGAGAAACCCTCCCGGTAAGAATCCACGAGGAGCAAAGCCCCTTGCCTGCAGGCAGCACAGTCAGAGGAAATGCTGTGGTGCAAAGGTGTGAGAGCAAACAGAGGAGATGCAAACCCTTGTAGGTGTCCATCCCTCCTGCGATGCATCTCTTAAATCACCCGCGCTTCCATAGCGGAGAGGAAAAGACACGGAGCTTTAGTAATTCCCAGCAAATCACCTAAAATTCCAGTGCTCAGCACGGACCCATCCCCGCCATCTCTTTTTACTACAGCTGTTAGATACCACTTTCACCCACCCTGAAACCCAAGTGATTTACAGGGAAATATGTTGTCAGCAGTTGGTGGGAAAGGCTGAGCCGAAAACTCTGTTTGGAAGTGGGATGCTCAAGACATGTTTTTAAATGGATGTCCTGTGGAAAAGCATATTGCATCCTCTAATGCTACAGTATGTGCCCGTGGCCATGGCTTTCTCGCTGCAGAGAAGCAGTGAGGAAGGCAGTAATCATCCCCTCCCTCTGCTCAGCTCTCAGAGTGCTGGTTACGCCGCCCCATTCCCGTCTCGCTCCCACTCCTCACACCAGGCTTGCTTTCAGGCTATTCCTTCTGCGCCCGGTAGCTTTTCAGACTCATTGCACCAGACTTGTCATTTTTCATTCAGATTTTCCTCCTAGATCTGGCGCTTTTTTTCCCCCTCTTACACACAACATTTGCTTGTGTCTAATGAATTCTGCCTCTGGACTTCTTACAGGGCACGGGGGTAGCATGGGAGCAGCGTACAGCTGCCGGTGCCATCCTGCCCACGAGTCCTGCTCAGCTTGTACTAATGTGAAAAACAAGAGTGGAAGTGAAGTTCATCTCTAATTACTCCACGTTGTTATCACCAGTGAGTCCATGAGCCTGGACCCTTTGGGCTCGTTCAGTCCCTCTTTTGAGTGCCTGAAGCTGAACGCAAGTGGGAGGCAAAACCCTCTCACTGTTTTCTTATTAATTGTGTTTGAAAGACAACTCTGTGGCTATCGTTGCCTTTTGCCTGGCATGGAGATCTATTACCGTTTAGTTAACAGCGGGTGACACGTCCATCTGGACTCATCCTTTCAAGGCAAAGTTGTCTCAGTTTTAGACAAACAGGGTTATTCAGACTCTCCATAAATCACCAGTAAGAGGCAGTCATCACTGACTGGGCTGTTAATAGGAAAATAACAGCATCACTAGCCAAAGCGTTGGCCCAAGCCTTGGCTGCAATGAAAAGAGGGAGCCTTCTTCCAGGCGCTGCCCTTCAGAAACTAAGCATTGGCCACCAGGATTGATGTCTCATCCCTGCGCCGCTGCCAGAAAGGGGCTGTAAGTCAGCAGCTCACGACAACTCCTACGGCTGTGTAGGAAAAGGAACGTTCTCCAAGTCACCACCATAGCATTTTGGCTTCGCTGTCATGCCTTTGCAATGGGAGAGGGGCTGTGGTGGTGGGAGCATCATTGCCAGCGCTGACTACCGAGCGCTCCCTGCCAAAACAGGAGCCCTCGCTGTGACTCGTCGTGCGAGCACAGCCTGGAAACAGAAGTATCCTGAGGATAGTGTGATATCTGAGTGCCAGATAATGATGGTAAAGATAAAGCTACATTTGTAGATGTGTTCTGCTGGGGGTTTTTTAGCCTTGGATGTGCTTTGCCAAGGTAGAACGGCTTCATGTTCCTCGTCTTACCCCGGTGACACCGAAGTACAAAGCCTTCTGTGGGTCTGATGTTTATTAGCAAGATCCTGCCAGGCACAAGTGCTGTGACGATCTCCCACATGCGGAGTCTGTTATTGCAAATACCAAATCACAAGGGTCTGAATCAATAAACCATCTCCCAGCTATAAGCAGCAGGTTGGAAGATTACATATTGCTTCCAAACAACAGTTTTATGCGCTCTTCCATGACACGACAGTTGCCGGGCTAACGGGATTACTGACAGGAGGTGGAGCCGGGCAGGGATCTGGGAGCATACAGGATTTCACGTATAGGGATGGTGATGACAGGCGGCTGTTAGCAACGCGTGGCGATGGATGAAGGCAGCTTGGGTCTCCCTGGAGCACGGCCAAGGTAGAGGCTCCTGCCGAAAGGGAGCACGGTGTTTAACAGCTCCCTGCCTGTAGGGATAACTCCAGAGCTAAAGGTCAGAGGGAACTGAGTCCATCTCTTTAATTAACAGGTTTTGAGTTAATGGCTGGAGTTCCTATGGAGAGGGAGATGTGACTACTATGGTCGTGGGGATAGTCTGGTTCTCAGCTGATGTTACTGGTTCTCAGCTTCCCAAGACTATGATGATAGGAAGAAAAGCCAGGGGTGTCTTTCTACCTGTGTGCTGCAGCTCAGGGGTAAGGAGAGTGGGGCAACGGAAGGATGGATGCTTAGAAAAGTAATAATTAGGTGGACAGGGCTTGGAAAGAGGAAACATGTGGACTCCACAGTGGATGCACTCAAGGCACATGGTCTCATCAAGGATGTTTTCCTTCTAAGCCCATAAAACCTGCTGGTTGCCTAGTGCTGTGAGAAGCTGCTCCTGGGATGCTGTGGGATTGGTCACAGTTTAGATCCAGGAAGGAGATGCCCAAGAAACAAACAGGATGTGGTTGTGGAGCCATGAAACTCCTGAGGCTGCTGACACCAGCATTGCAATGGGCAGCCGCCAAGCCCACTGCGATGAGACAGGCAGGAGCACTGGGGTCTCGCTGGGCTTCCCAGGCTGGAAAGAGCAGCAGGAAAGGTCCCAGCCTGGATCCCCTGGGAGTTACAGCCTGTCTAACTTGTTGAACTTGTTATTCCTGATACAGCCCTTTCGACTTCATCTTGTAAAGTTTGCGAGGCAGATGGAGGGTCACCAGTGCCTGTGTCAGAGCTCACCGGGGAGGGAGAGCTTCAAAAGCAGCATGGAAAAACCCTGCAGAAGCCTGCCAGGGACGTGAATAAAAACAAAGCCCTGCTGACACGGATAGAGCCAGCAAGGGGGACTGTATCTGCTGTCTTTCTCCCATGGATGCTGCACTGTCACCTCGGCTTCTGCTCGCTGTGTTCTTCTGCTGCCTCCTGCTTTTGACTGAGGTTTCAGTGATTGCAATGGATTTGTCTGAGTGTCCAAACCATTTCCCATGTAGCATCTCTCTAATTGGGCATTAATTAGGCATCAGTTAATGAATGCTCGAAATAATTTATCTTTGGATGCGTCCAGTTTGCAGTCTTACTTTTAACAGCATTAGACTCATTATTAGATTAACATCGTTATAAATGTTCTCCATTACCTGCTTGTTTCCATTGTCTTTGCCTTATTACTGAGAGTGAAAATCACTCCTCCCGCATGCATTATTGATGAGTAAGGACTTTCTATATGTAGCACGGGATTAATTGTTATACAGCGTAATGCATTTAGCGTGAAGCCTCAATTTGTGCAAGAGCTGAAAGCAGCCAGAAGAATGCAGACACCCGGAGCCAGCGTGCTCGGCCAGACACAGAACATCTCTTCGAGCCCAGACCAGGTTCCTCCGGGCCAGTGCCAGCACAGGAAGAAGCTTAAAGAAGGCAAAAAGAAGGTGGTTTGATACCCAAGATCAAGGGGGGAAGGTTCCAAGGGTTGGAGCACTTCTCAGCCACTGCAGCAGGGATGCTGGCTTCAGCTCAGCCCATTCCCAGGGCACCAAGTGTCCCTGTGCTGGCAGTTTTCTTCCATTCTAAGCTTCATAACACTTTACTGTGTCTCCAAGTGAGGCAGAGCCTTGGTTTATCTGGGAAAACATGATGCCACTTGTTTTCATTGGAGTCTCGGGCTCAAGGGGAAGAACTAATATGACTTATTATGGCTTTGGGAGGATGCAGCTTCAGAGCCTCTCAAAAGGCAGCCCTACAACAAGCCCTTTCCACCCCATGCCCATTCCCTCTCTGTGAGCTGCTTTTCTCAGATGGATGCTTCCACCTCCCCACCCGGCCAAGTTTATATGGGTCATGACCTCTCTAATGCTCCAGCAGAATCTGGTCTAGAGGATGGAGCAGGTTGCTTCTCTTCCAAATCTCTCCTAAACCACCATCTGCTTTGAGAGACCTATCTTAGCTCATGTCTACATGCAACTTGACTGCCTGCTTACTGTGCCCATTACTGGTGCTGCTCAAGCTGTTGGATTTATAAGCTCTTTAGAGCAAAGCCCTCATCTTCTGGTTGCTGATTTATGTATCTTTACTGCCATAAAACACTATGTATAGCTACTACATAATATAAATAATAATACTTAACCAGAGCAAGCTACAAGTGGGGACAAAACATCTGCCTTCTGCTCGCAGCTGGGATTATCAAAAAGGCAGAAGTTTGCTCATCACTCACCCTCTTCTGAAGCCAAACTCACACCTGGTGTAACACCACCACCTCGCTGTCAATGAGAACCAGAGAGACATTTTCCTGTCCCATTCACACCCTGGATCTAGCAAAGGATGGCTTCTAAATCCGAGTGAACTGGGGCGCACTGCTACAACCCCTGGGCAAAATACGCTTTGAAACTCGGGAGCTAACTCAGGGTGGGACATTCGCACCTCCATACAAAGAAACAACTGCTTAAGGAGAAAAAGCAGCCTCAAACGTTCACAATTCCATCTGTTGGGTGAAGGACGATGAAAGGCAAGGCCAGAGCAGTGGCAGCAACTGGGTGAGAGCCAAGACTGAAACTTCAGATCTGGGACGGTGTGACAAAGCGGTGTCAGACCCGTGCTTAGTAGCTGCAGGGGGGATTTTTCCCC